CAAGAGACAGATGAGAGACAGGGGAGTGACTCCTGGGCTGAGCGGAACACCCAGGATTTCGCAAGTCGCCCGAGGCTATCAGACACTTCACAGGCCAGGTGTAGGGCTCCATCCAAAGAGAGGTGAGCTCAAGGAATGTCCGTCCTTTTCATGCAAACCTGCTCCTATGACTCTAGCATTTGATTTTTGCAGAAGGTGAATGAGAGCTTAAGTAAGAACAACCGCTCCCACATTCCTCTCTCTTTCCAACGATATGCTGAGGAAGAGGCAGAGAGAGTGGTCCTAAGCAAGCTACCTACGTTGACATTTTAGGCAATAAACACAAGAAGGATTTCTCTGGGCTGTGACCTGGCTAGAAAGGGAGCAGTGAGGGCAGGAAACTTTGGACATTTGATCTTGGCTGCGAGAGGGGATCAATGTCCTGATAAGATATAGAGTTACTCTTTCACCTTCACTGTTTCTAAAGGCTGTCTTGTGCAACCTTGAGTAAAGCTACCTGATGCTGAAGCCGTAGGCCTGGGAGACTGGATGCCAGCACTGGGCTGAAGGTTGCAACCTCCCGATCGCTCATTCTCACTCCACCTCGCAGTCTCTCCTCCAAGCCCCAGAATCCTAGCCATGTTCTTGCCCTTCCTGGGCTTAAAAATGCCTTTGCAGGAAAGGGAGTGATGCCTTTTTCCCCAGGCATCTTGGAGCTTCCAAAGCACTCGGGACCTTGCCAGGACACGTGAAAGTGCCCCTCTAATGACATCGTCCAGCTTCCTCAGCACCGCTGTATGCTTAAGGAAGATTAAGAATTAAGAAGCTGAGTGCCCAATGCTGGCATCTGATACTCTCTCATATCAGCAAATTGCAGAGAACCAAAAACTTGTAAAACAGTGCACAAGAACGGTCCAGATCGACATGCAGAAAGTCAAGCGCTTGTGCCGGAAGGCATAGCAGGAGGACAGCATGGATGAAGCTGACTGGAAATGTCTACATTGACTTGCATAGACCATATAGGGCGGCGGAGCAATTCTGCCTGGGGCAGGCTGGGAGGTTAGGGCTTAAAAAACAAGACGCTATTGGCGATTAAAAGCTCTAGTGTCTCTAGGACAGGTTTTTCGGGTTTTTTGTTTTTAGAGGTGCTTTGTTTGTTTGATCGATTGTTTGTTTGTTTGAGAGCTGGGATGAATCACAGCAGACTCTGGAGATCGACAAAGTCTGGAGTTTGTGGCTTGCTTGACCAACTATTACAGGTCTGGACATAGGAGAAGGAACCCTACAGGTACACGCTCGCTGCTGTGTGTTGATCAGGCTGGTCAGCCGCAAAGCAAATTCAGGTCAGCTTAAGTTTTACAGAGCTGGCAATATCCGCTGCTGAGAATTAAGGCACTGAGCAGTGTCATGGCGATGTTTCTGGGCAGGAAGTAAAGAAAAAGCATTCTCCCTTCTGAAAATGCCTTGGCTGCTGGAGGTCCTTCAGAAGTGACAGTAACTATCATTACTTCATTCCTGTGGAACAGGAACACTTAGAGAGTTGAATAACAGCTTCTGTGCACAAATAAAAGCCGTATTTTAGCTCTTGAAAAAATATTTGCCTTCAAAGTAAATATTCCTGGGCGGTGGAGCATCCAAAGTTCCACTCTGGAAATTTCTATCTAATGCGTCCGAGAGGGACATGCATGTAAACCAGGATGCATTAGAAACGCTCTGGATTTGTGAGCAGCAATGTGGCCAAAGAGAGAGCAGCAACTGCAGAAGCTTTTGGATATTTAAAACCAAGCACTGGAGGAGCAGGTGCTTAGCTAGCAGTCACCCGAGCCCTTAGCTCTCAGTTCAGCCTCCCTCTCCAAGCTTCTCTTCCAGGCTCAGGGATGCTGCATCCGTTTTGCTCTGGATTTGACCCCCGTCCTCTGCTGGTCAGAGTCAGGTTAGGCGATCGCCCAGTTAGGCTGGGCTGCCCTATACAGTTCAGGTGCCTGGTATGGATCGAGGGTGAGAGGGACAACTGTAGGAAGAGAGGCGAGGAGAGCTGGGACCACCTGGGACCTGGGAGAAATAAGAGGTTGCAGCCCATGCCAGGAGCAACGTTCCAGTACTGAGTACTACTGAACACTACTACCTCTAAAAGAGTGCACCTTCCTTTTCAACAACTTTGGTTTAACCTTCACACCCCAAACTTACGTGCTACAGACTGGGGTGCATCTTGTTCCCAGGTCATGGGGGTCCTCGTTCCTGCCGGACATGACGCAGACAAGAACAATCCGCCACACAGCTCCTTGGGGGGAAGGGGTGGAGGGGTGGCGGGGGGGGGGGTCTCAAAGTGCCTGTTGGCTCAGGCTGCTCAGAAGCCTTGAACGGGTAATTCCTGGCAGGGCTCCCTCTGGCATGGTGCTAGGCTGTCCTCACCAGCTGCTCCAAGAGCAGAGAGCAGGATACCGGATCCGGTTGCTGTGGGTCAGGGACATCACCTAACAATGCCAGCAGCTTGTGTATAAATAACACCAACAGAGACCTTTTTCTGGTGTTTCTCCGGGGCAAGAGACGGCAGTGCTTGGACTATACGGTAAAGAGAGGGTCCCTACCCTGAGCAGCCAGAGCGTGCGGCTTAGAGTGAAGAAGAAGGATTGGGAGATGTGAGTTCATCATTAGTGCGGTGCTTCAGCTTGCTCAGGTTTCTGCCTGCCTTTTGGGTTTAGGGCAACGTTTCGCACTACGCCTCTGGGCTGCCCAAACTTCCCTAGCAAACCTCTCTCTTTGATTTCTTTCTCCTGTCTGGCTGCCTCTCCTGTGCTTCAGGGAACCCCAGTGGGAGGCGGTCTGCAGGACTTGCACTTCACTAAGGAAGTTGGGCTCTTTCATGTTTTGCTAACCAGGTTCTCCACAGCTTTCTGAAAATCTGGCCTCCTGATAAACTGAATACAGGGACAGCTTGAGTTAGAAAGAGTTGCTCTTTCCACCTCCTCAGAGTCAAACCACATCTAAGAACGCAAAATGCCCGTTTTTTGGGCAACAAGTGCGAGGAGGGTGTCGCTATTTTGGAAAGCTCTCAACTCAGGGGATCTTTGGAGAGAAAGGACGGAATTATTCCTCTGTGATTTCATTTTCACTTCAGAAAGGTGCGCATCCCTTGCTGAGCTAGACATCCTTTTCTTCGAAAGGGAAGCAATTGCTACTTCAAGAATGCGCTCGGTCACATACTAGAAATTCCCATTGACCTCCCTTAGCTATAAAGATCCGGAATCCCCTTCTCTTTTTGGCGCCTGTACCTCCTCTCACCAAGCTGGAAGTCGTGACTGCCGCTGTTGCTGATAACCTCTCCTCGTACCTTTGATTGCAGATGTGGCTCCAGCTTTGCGCTCTGCTTGTCCTCCTGCCCCTGAGCGGGAAAGCCACTACCCAAGCCAACGACCTGCCTTCCACCCTGAGGAGACTCGTAGAAAGTAGCATCTCTCCTCCACCAGGTACTGTGAGTGGCTGCCTCTAAAGGAAATCCTAGCCTATTTGTGATGTCTGTGCTTTCTCAGCTGAACTAAGGGCACAATGCTAGATGTGTAATTAAAGGGAAATAATTCCCATCGAATCCTTCGGTAGCTTGTGCTTTCATGCTTGTCAGATTAGATGGCCAAACCCTAAATATCTGTGAATAGCTCAAGAGGAAAGGCAGCACGCCAATGCTCCCGTACTAATAGCTGTCCTCCCATTTTCTCTTCCCTTCAGCAGCATCTCCCAAGGGACGGGGGGAAGAGAGTGAGGTGCTGGGGCACTCACCAGCTGTAAAACTCTCCAGGACAGAGGGAAAGGATCTTCCTGTGCTGCCAGAGGTCAAAATAACTCCTCGGAGGAAACGCCAGATGTTTGATTCGAACGTCAAATGGGTCAGTTTCACAGGAAGTTTGCCTAACGGGGCTGTGTCCAACTGGAACAATTATGCCAAAAGACAAGAGTATGTCTGCGCTGTGTCAGGTTGTGACACGGGGTCCTACACCCCAGGCCGGGGCCCCTATTGTTACTACCCCTATGGGGAAAAAGAGCTGAAGTCCTCTCGTTTTAAGATACTGGTAAATGAAGGAGACAGGGCATGGCTGGAATGGAAAGCAGCATCCTTTGGCAACGCACCACCAAACGCCGTTAAGAGTTGCCCATGGGAAGATATCTATGTGGGAAGGAACAAGTATGGTCTGGGGAAAGTGCATGGCCGCCACAGCGCTTTCTTTGTGGTCACTGACGGCTATGAGTCTTGGTATAAATTCTATGAAGTTTTGACTGTTAGGCGAGATTAAGCCCAGAGAGAGAGGGAACTTGATAG